AAATTGTACAGCAGGGCCAATTATTATTATATTTTTTTTTATTTCTTTTTGAAGCGATTGTCGGCGAAACAAAAATCACATGCTCACAAATATATGTTCATATTTTTTGAATTTCTTAACTCAAAATATATTGTTTGAGTAAAACTTATTGGCTTTGCCCGAGCCCATAGCTCGGCACTATTGTTATTTTAAAATTAAGTACATGTTTGACTCAACATGTACCACGCCGCAAATTCATCAATTTTCAGTGGTTTCACTTGATCATTGAGAATTGATCAAGAAGAGAGAATAAGAACATGTAAAAACACATGTTATAATCTTTAAATTTAAAAAAAGGATTATATCTATACAAGGGGTGATCATTAGATGATCAATAATACACCTTAGAATAAGCTGCACTTTGTAATCAAAATTCCCAATGAAAAAAATATTATTCAAATACTGAATCAAAAGAAAGTATAGATGCAAAACTGAAGCTTTGGTAATAATTCACAATAATCCTTTTTTCAGTCTCACTTGCAATCAAGATCTTGAATAGCACTTATAGTCAAATTAATATTCATAGTACAACTCAAATCTGCAGATTTCTTCCTCCTAAATACCCTAAAAATCTGCAATTCCCCTCTTATCTTAGCCAGGCTAGTCACTGGCAAAATCCCGTTAGTATTATTGACTCCTTGTCTTGCAAATGTGACAATATTTGCATTAATATATAATTTTTTCGTCGAACGACGTCTTACCTCTGTTTCAGGAATAATAAATTGGCCAATAGTCACACTACCTGAAGTAATAGTAGCTAAACTACTATCAAATTCGTAACGCCAATAATTATGATTTCTCACAAAAACTTGTGCAGAAAAATTAATATTATTGCCATCACTATCGTTCGTGACTCTGATGTTTTCGAGCCAGATTTGAGGTGATTTGATTCGAACAAATATGAGAGAAAATAGAAGAACGATTCCAGTTACGAACAATGTGAAGAATAAAATATTTCTGATTTTGTTTTTCCTCTTGATATTATTGGCTTGGAAATTGGCTAATGATTCTGCATCACTTCTCGGCATAAAATTTGATGGGGCTAAAGGATATGATTGTTGGTATTTTTGATCAGTTGCCATTGTTAAGAATAGAGAAACTTTAGTATTTGTTTTGAATTGAAGTTAGAGACTGTATTTATAATATGTTTAGACTGAGACACTTTCGTGGAAAATGTTATCAGCCACATATTATACGTTTAAGTCTTTGTGTGTAAGTTTTCTTAATTTTCTAGTTTGCTAGACGTGTTGATTTGGAAAAGTTGACTTCTAGATAGTTTCTTGACTTCAACGATATTGTAATTTTCATGTGACATTGACAATTTTAGTCGAGAATTTATAGTGATTAATTAGTTTGAAGGTTTAATTTTTATTTGTTTAATTTTCATTTCAGAAAAAGGGTGAGTGTGACTAAAAGTTTTAAAATAGAATTAAGAGTGAACTAGACACACTAGATTTAAAATCTTAATACAATATTTTCTCATTCAAGTTTTGAATATTATAGAAATCTTACCAATGAAATAGATAAATGCAGTCTTCTACAATTTGAATAGAAAAAAATGACTCAGTAAATATCTCTTTGTATTTTATTTTAAGATTTCTTATGTGCAAAAATATTTCTCACAAAAAAGACAAAATTTAAAATAAAATTTGTGAAGAACTATAAAACCAATCGACATGCATCATCATTTGATATAGTTTTCGATTTTATATTTTGGAGACAGCAAGATAGAAAAGTTGTAAATACGTTCCAATTGTCACAAAGGCATTGGTTTTTTCTTATTTTATATAAAGCGTATATCAAAGGTTGATAGCTCCGTATAACTAAATTTAACTTATATTTCACCATCAAATAACTTGATAAAAGGGATAATAGAAAATATGTGGAAAAAATAAAGGGATGAAAGAAAAGGTGGTCCATATTGACCAAATAGCCGATAACACAAAAAAAGCAAAAGAAATTGGAGTAATAGATAAGAACAACAACCAAACATAAATACTTAATTAATTAGTTCAATTAATATTGTTTGAGAAACATAAAAAAAGAGATAGTATATAATTTCTTTGTTCGTTGTTTCAATATATATTCCAGGGTTTTAAGGGCTTTGTTATGCATAATTCATAAATTAAAATGAGATTCTTTTGAAATATAAACTTCAAACTAAAAAACGTTTAAAAGTAAACCGGATGCATATGTGATTCATCCTATAGTTGATGTATAGTACATAGTACGACTAGGGGTGTGCATTTGAATCGGTTTATCGATAAATCGAATCGATTATTGTTATCAGTTTATCGATTTATCGATTTCGATTTCGAATTCGATTTTGTCCTCTTCGGTTATCGGTTTATCGATAAACCAATAAGATATACTAATTTTTTTTTTTACCCTTATTCTATAATACCCTTTCCTTTACCCTAAGTCCCTAACCCTATTATTTCATCTACCACATTTAAGGAATGATCATATTTAAAGCTCAAGGGAATGAAGTTCAAATTAATGGAAAATAGAATTAGCCGTGATGATGTATTTTTATTTTTTTATACCGTTGGAGGTATATATTTGATCCCTTACTTTAGTTTCGTTGCATGTGCTTCTTGACACAATTTTTATGTTATAAACGGTGTTCATCTTATTTTAGCTTCTTTTTGTCCATATTAGTTAGGCGTGTTTATAGCAATATACTTTCCGTAGAATCCTGCAAATTTTCTTGTTGGTGTAATCAATAACCGAATGATAAATCGAAAAAATCGAAACCTTATTGAAACGATAACGATAAGCATATGTACAAATCGATAATCAATAAGTAATTATCGATAAGGGTCAAAATCGAATCGATAAATCGAATGCACACCCCTATACTAGACTATTGGAAGTCTTCTAATATAAAAGCTATGACTAGTTGCCCATGCTACTTTTGTAAATTAGGTTTAGAAAGCGAATTATTAGAAAGTTATAATACAAAATATTCTTTTCCTATGCAATTACAACTTACAAGCTCTGAATAGTTGGCACAAGGTCAATTACTCATTTTGTAAAAAAATTAAAAGTTTATAGTACGACTATTTTTAAGTGTTTAACTAGTCAACGAAAAATAGTACTTATATCTATATGCACTATTGGAACTTGTAGTGAAAAAACAACCCATGATTGTGATAGGATCGATACGATTGATCCATCCTTTACTAAATACGATTAATTTGAATCAAAACTTCCGATCCTCTCCCTTAACGAGTTATCTTGATTGTTCAAAAGAAACTAACAAGGCCTAACTATAGCTGCAATATAAGGAGCAAGTGCATCGATAGTCATTCTCAGGGATGCTATTTGAATATTAGACAAGTACTTATTTTACCCTGAAACTCCAAACCAAAACCTTAACATCAGCACAATTTAGGACACTTTTGTCCCGAAAAATTTAAATTGAAAAATTGAAATTCAGGCCGCAGTGACTATTTTAAATATCAACACATTAGAGTGGCTACCTGGTGTCATTTCTACGCAATATAAAGCAGGCGGGCTTGTAATCCGTTGTCATCTCCATATAGCACAAATTGAAGTTGTTAAAATACCACGGGCTAGCCAGTTTTCGGACTGGTCATTCAGAAATAGCTAGCGTTTGTCAAGTCATTGAAAAATAATTACTATTTTGCTGTAACAGAGACCGGTCCAGCATAATATACTGGAGTTCGGTGCACCTGTGTATGAACTTCCAGCATATTATACTGGACCAGTATACTTTTCTGACTCCAGTATAATATACTAGAGTTCTAGTATACTTTGCTGGAACTCCAGTATAATTTATTGGAGTATTTTTCTGATTTCGAATAATGCTTTTGTTCAGACTTATCTTTACATGAAAAGTGACTAAATTCTAATGACTTTTAAAACTATGGCTATTTTTGAATGATCACTTGTAAATTTAATTATTTTTAGGTTTCTCCCGTTATTAATATTTTCCTTGACTTGAAAAATTCATCTAAGTAAACCCACACTCAAAGGAGGACCACAAGCTCGGGTATCACAATAGAGTCACCCCACTAAAGAGGTTTGGGTGTCCTTAATCTATGTTTGGTTTTCAAGAGCGTATACAGTAAATTGGAAACCAATTAGACACACGTGGAAGCCATTGTAGACGTAATTGTAGTTTTTTGTAATGATCTTCTACAATATGTTATTTAGGAGAATAAACAATTACAATGATCTCGGGCGAGCAATTGATCATGTGGAAGCAAGAATGTATTTTGACGGGATTTTTACCTAGCTATACTATAATAAAAATTTTATTTATCACCTTTATTTAGGTTTCTTATTAATTATTTTGTATATCTATATTTACAAGTTATATACAAAACAATTAAAAAGAAAAAAGATTCAAGATCCCTTAATTTTAGCTTGTCAGTTACACGACACTCACCTCCATTCCCAATAACTCCTCCTACATTTAGGATTCTATTCCTTTTTCTTTTCTCTTTCTTAATAATTACCCAATCTCTCTCTTTCTTACTAATCACCCAAAATCTCTATTTCTTATTGATACAATATAGATGAAAATCAGAATATTGCTCTAGAATCAAACTGTGGGTAAGTTTTGAATCTTACTTTCTTTCTTTCTAAAATCTTTATTGTATTTATCTTGTATATAATACATCAATACCAAAAACAATACTCGATACAATACTAATACAATTATTATATGATTATATTAGATTTTTAATGTACAATTGTGATTGAAACTTGAAGAAGATGAAGATCATAATTATATCACAATTTTTTAGAAATGTATCGCAATTGTATTATAATTATGTATGTATCATAATTGTTGCAGGAATTGTATTACAGATGTATGATAATTGTATATTCATTGTATATTATTACAAGCAGTTGTGAGTTCATGGCGAATTTCACTATTTGTATCACAAGTATGATAATTGTTGTTGCGACCCTAAAACTAACCCAGTCATGATGGCGCCTATCGTGAAACTAGGCCAGCCGACACAAACCCAAAACACCCCAGAAAACTATAAGAAGTCATTTTTAAGCCATTAATTAACTAAAATCCCATAGTATAACTTTAAATAAACAGTGCGGAAATATAACACAAACCCGACATCGGGGTGTCACCAGTCATGAAAAACTACAAACTCGTCTAAGAACAAGAAAGGCTAACATAGTCTGAATTAAATTACTAAGACAATCTGAGAAAGATAAGAAGGAGAAGTGCAGGGCTGCGAACGCCAAGCAACTACCTAGCCAACTCCGGAGACCTGTTGGAAGACTGATCAACACTCACTATCGCGTCCCGAGACTCCTGGATCTGCACACAAGGTGCAGAGAGTAATGTGAGTGCGCCAACTCAGTAAGTAATAAAAGTAAAAGTATCTGAGCAGTAAGAAAATAGGTAATTCCATGTCATAGCACTACAACAAAACAGTATATGTCCAGAAAAATACAGTAAATCAATTAACTCGTAAAAACAATTCATTTCAGTAACATATTTTTAAAACAACTTTCAATTTTTTTGACAAGTGGTAAAACAGTGAGTAAAATGATAGAAAATGTAAACAACTCCTCGGGCAAAGTATCAACAAAACCAGCCCCTCGGGCTACCTCACAATCACTCGTAATCAGCCCATCGGGAAACAACATAAAACAACAACAGCCCCTCGGGCAATATCACATCACTCACACTGGGTACCCGCGCACACCAGGGGTGTTCTGATTCCGAAGGGGCTCGTGCAAGTGCTATCATAAGCCATCTCGTAGCATAATAAATCAGGCCCTCGGCCTCTCATATATCCCAAATCAGTACAACATGCTGCGGCGCGCTGTCGGATCCCCTAATATCCTCACAACACAGGCCCCTAACCTCACTCAGTCAGAAACCTCTCAAGCCACTCGTGCAACAATAAATCATGATGCCCAACTCAAAATATCATTTAAAGTATCAACACGAATTAAATATAGCTAAGTTATGAATTCAGTAAAAAAGAGCATCACTGAGTACCGATATTAAGTTAAAACAGTAAGAAATAGTAGTAAAAATCCCTATAAGGGTCCAAAACATTTGGCACGAGGCCCAAATATGACATTCAACCCAAAACATAGCAATACTTTC